CGTTAACCGACGCGTTCTCACATGTAGTGGGTGGGCGTTCTGGTTTGGACGGGGGAGCTGATGCCCAGGGCTTCTCCCGCGATGACGATGGCGGTCACGCCGTCTTTTGTCGCTCTGGGAATCTCATCGGCGTTCAGCTCCTGGGAAAAATAATAACCAAAATTAGAAATAGGGTAAAATAAATCGCGAGAAGAGTCGGTTTCGAGCGGCAGGTCGGGCAATGTCAAGAACGGGCCGCAGAGCGAGCGGATAAACAGCAGAGGTTAGCGGTTGTTGGCACAGGAAGCAAGGACATCATGCACGTCATGCACATCGTGAACAAGGAAACCCATCGGCATGTAAGGTCGACCGTTCTTGTTGTTACCATCCAGGGGTGCGGTGTACAGTTGCTGTTGTTGTTGTTGTTGTTTGCTGTTGCTGTTGCTGTTGCTGTTGCTGTGGTTGTTGTTGTTGTGCCAACTCATACCAACAAACGGTGTAGCCAATCATCATAACCATACGGAGACAACAAAATGGGGAAAAAAAATGTCCGTGTGGGACCATGTACACCACATACAGCGGTACCTGGTAAGCCGGGGACACCATCTTGTCGCCGCTCTTGAGGTTGACCCACAGCTGGAGACCGTGCCCACGGTCTGGTCCGGTTGGCATCTCGGCATGCACGATACCCTTCCCCTGCGAACAGACACACAGGCGGGTAGGAAGAGAGGCAGACGGGCGGGCACAGGGCAGAGCGCTGAGGACGGCATTGACCTGTCACAGTGGGCGAGACGAGGCGGTAGGCGGCTGGCTGGCCCCAAGCAAGCAAGCAAGCCGTCATACGGGACAACTCCCCCTGTATGGGACGTATGCTTCCTGTGTTTCTTGCTGTGCACCTACCATCACTTTGACTACCATACATTTTGCCGTGTCCATGTCGCGCTCTAGGCTACACTGGAAAAATCCCACAGACCACCCGCAGTACGCAATACTGCTGCGTTCCGGCAAACCACACCTGGTGCTAGCTCTGCTGCTTGTTTACCACTTGATATACACCAACAAAAGTCTAAAGACCAGTACACCAAGCAACGTCAAACAAGAAGCTCAGGCAACCATTCAAAAGCGAAGGCATTCCCAGCCTACAAACAGGAGCACCCATTGGGCAGCAAGGAACGCGTGAGTGCGTGACACAACGAGAGCAAGCCGGAAAAGGACCGAACCCAAAACTGACTCACCGCTGTCATCCACTGCAGGCTGCCAGGTCCGATCTTTCCCCTGCCACCACGCCACCACCACAGCAATGTGACCAGATCAAGACAAGCATGGAAAACAATTGCGCCGCACCGGACACCGATAACAGCAGGACGGACGAGTCCGAATACGGACGGTTTAACCGAGTCATGGACCACCGCCCGAGAGAGGGGGGGGGGGGACAGGGACGCACAGAGGAGACAGATTCAGACAGACGGACAGACAGACAGACAGAGAGTAAGACCGACAGACATCGTGTACTTTCAAACACGTGGAGGCCAGCGCTCGAAGCGTCCAACTATATCTAACGAGCTGTCGAAACGCTAGTAGGCACCATTCAACATTGTGCAAAACGTTGCATCAAATTGCCTCGGTTCACCTGTGGCCACAAAAGTCTTCGTGCTCCATGATGCCCTTGAGCATGTAGGTCACCGTCTCGAAGCCCCTGCCAAAAGGCCCACCAGATACCAGCAGCAGCAGCAGCAGCAGCAGGCAACGGAGAGTCAGCAAGCTGGCATCAGTCGGAGGACAATGCCGACTACTTGTATATTTGAAGGTCTGTGCAGAGCATCCCTGATACACACTCTATCCACGCACGCTGGGGCGAGAGAAAGAAGGGTCAGACAATGTCCCTTCCTGAGGGTGCACTTGTTCTTGCTAACTAGGGACGTCACAGAACTATCTACAGGGTTGTACACGCAGGGCGGATTCTTTGCGTCCGCGAAACTTCCTGAACCGTCGGAGAGAGAGAGAGGGAGGAAGACGATACGACTATTGTTTCCCCTGGTCAAAGATGAACAACCCTTCTGGTCGGAAACATTTCATTTCTCCTCTAAAACCGCGGCAGCGCGGAAGCTCTTGGCTCGAACGACTACATGTAGGTGAACAGAAGAAGAGAGCAATGACCCGCATGCAGACTGCCGTGATGTTTCACTGTCCGAAGGGGGGGGGATCATTAAGCACCAGGAAGGTAAACACAAGATTTCGCGCGGGGTGTACAAAAAACTTCGAACGGCGCTCGAAGAAAAACGTCTCCTTATACCTACGCATACGTCTATTGCTACTGCTGTGAGCGGATAAATAATGCACGGGAACGAATCAAAACGAAAGCTGGTGGTTGCGGCCTAAACACGCACCAACAAGACTCAAAAGCTTCTGGTTGCAGGTACCTGTGCGGGTGGTCAGGGAAGCCTGCCGTCGTGGCAACGTCAAACTCGTCGAGCATGAGGAAGGGATCGAAGTTGCGGAGAGCGACGCCGCCGATGCTCCGGCGGACTCGAGCCCCTTGGCCTTCCGCTTGCTCTCGGGACAGGACAACCTAAAGGCGCCAGCGTGAGTGTGAATGTAGAACATGCAAGTGTGCGCATATGTGTATGAGGAACAGGATAGATTGGATGCACCAGAGTGTGGATGTAGACAATACGAGCGTGCGCATATGCGTACGAGGGAACCGGACAACTTGGGCGTCCCAGCGTGCGGTGTGGGTGCAGACACTACCATCGTGCGCATGTGTGTATGAGCAACAGGACAATTTGGATGGACCAGCATGTGGGTGTAGACAATACGAGTGTGCATGTATGTGCATGAGGGAACTGGACACCCCGGGTGGACCAGCGTGTGCGTGTGGGTGTAGACAATACCAGGCGTGCGTATGGGGGTCGAGCTCCTTGAGGACGCCAGTACCGCAAGTCCATCAAAGCAACAACACCTACTGCTGCTGTAGACTACTGCAGTATCGCACTGCTGTGACGAAAGGCGGCTTGGTTCATTTACAAGTGGTCGACGTCAGCCCAGGACTTTGTAAAAGGCAGAATGTGCATTCGCAAGCAGAGCAGCACCTAGACCGGAGCGGTCGACGGCTCTGCTCTGTAACGTGGTACGATACAGCAAGCTTGAGCTACTGCTGTACACCAGCATGTTCTACATTGCTAGATGTCGCTTCATTGTTGTGACATTTCTCAGTCGGGGTAAGCGTAAAACGCACGTGAGTTCCATTCCATCCACTGGCAACCGACAGCCTGCCCGACCTCAGGCTCAGCAAGCACTGGTCGAGGCTGTGTGGCGTCCGCGCAGACCGCGGGGCGCGACGTACTTTCTCTGTGTAACCTCAAGACAGAACGCGGCGAACGAGCGTTGTGGCAGGCCAAACACCGACCGACGCCGACAAGCACGGGGATCGCAGCATCGCAACGGAGGCATGGCGGCAAAGAATGCTGTGTCTTCCGCCGGTCGTGCGGCGTACTGGTACTACATTCAGCAGCGTAAACACACCCAGTTCCTGCTGAACAGCCAGCATGTAGGCTACAACAAGCATGCTACGACACAGCATGTAGTCTATGTTGCGGCATACATACAATTAGACGGCCGGAGGTGTCAACAGAACAGCATACGCGTACCTGGTCCACCGAGCGGCTGGAAAATTCTCCTTCAGACGACATGGTAGTGCAGTATTGGCGTGACGAAGTGGCGGAGTCGGGGCTGCTGCGTGCCGATGCTGCTGCTGCTGCTGCTGCTGCTGCTGTGAGCGGTGCTGATGCTGTTGAACTGAAAGCCAACACCGATGATGAAGCGATGCCGCCGAAACGCGTTGAATAGAGCTGTTTATGGAAGGCGCGTGCAGGCAGAGCCAGGAAGAGAACGCCGATCCTCAGAGGCATTCAGTGAATTGGGGAAGGGGATGTGTAGGTTGTGGCAAGACGTGCGCTGAGGGGGGAAGGAGGGAGAGGTGGGGGGATGAGGCAAAGGCGTCGGCGGGTCTAAAAGCGGCAAGTTCATTGCTTCGATGGAAGCAATCACAGCAAATCGAAGTGAGAGATTCCCCCGCATTCTCCCGGGGGGGCCTTCAAATGCCTTCGCTCTGTTCCCCACATACCCTCTTTTTGGTACACTCTGTGCCACCCCCCACTCTGCTGCTCTAGCTGTTTGCGACAGCCCGTGGTCTGTCTTGCTACTGCTGTAGAGGGGCACGCGTTGCATAGCTGTGGCAGCCAAGAGTGCCAGTTGAAGTCGGTGCTGTCTAGTTTTGAGTTTCTTGAGCTGGTGTTGGGGCCGGCGACAAGACCTCGGCAAGAAGAAAAGGCAACAAACAATGGCGAGCTTGGAGGTGCGGCGGCGACCAGCAGACGATGATGCCTCCACCGCTGCTGCTGTGCCGCTCAAGACCGTGCTGATGAAGAGCACCAAGCGTACGCTGGATATGTTCGTGGGGCAAGAGGGGGCGCCCCCTCCCACGTTCATGGCAAGGTGAGCGAGAGCTTGTTGGCGTAGTGTTAAAATTAGGTAACGTCAGATCCAGCACACACTGCCACACGGCCGGTGTCCGCACAGCAGGTCGGGCAGTAGCCGCCACAACACAGAACAGGAGAGCGTCGTAGTACTACATATTAGCCCAACCTCACCCTATCCTCAACACAAAATGGCGCATTGCCATACTTGATCATTTCATCGTGGCGCCGCGTTCGCTGCTTGTATACAACAACAAACAAAACCAGCCAAAAGATCAAGGTGGCCAGCAAGATCGCCGCCGGCTACGCCACCGTTAAGGACGGCGCGCCCAACGGCGTCCCGTCCGCAGCTGCTGCCCGCATCGGGCACACAGCCGCTGCCGCCAACGGCTCCAACGGCGCTGCTGCTACTGCCGCAGCCCCGGCCCCGCCCGCAGAAAAGCCCCGCGAGACGGAAGTGACTCGAATAATCCAGAGGATCGACGAAGAGAAGATGGACAAGGCGCGGCAGCAGCAGGAGGCGAACCGGAGACTGGCCAAGGGAGGCGGCGCCGCCGCCGCAGACGGCAGCCTCGTCCTCTTCAACCCGAGCTCGGGATCGGTGGGCGGCGGGGAAGGGAAGGGGGCGGCGAACCAGCTGGTCGTCTCCAGGAGAGCGGCGCCCTCGGCGCCGCGGCCGGAGTGGCACGCGCCCTGGAAGCTGTCCTCGGTGGTCTCGGCGCACCTGGGGTGGGTGAGAGCGATCGCCTTCGACCCGTCGAACGAGTGGTTCGTGACGGGCTCCGCGGACCGGACGATCAAGGTGTGGGACCTCGCGAAGGCGTCGGCGGGGGCGGAGAAGGCCCTCAAGGTGACCCTCACGGGGCACATCAACTGCATCCGCGGGCTGGCCGTGTCGCCCCGGCACCCGTACCTGTTCTCCGCGGCGGAGGACAAGAAGGTCATGTGCTGGGACCTGGAGTACAACCGGGTGGTGAGGCACTACCACGGCCACCTGTCCGGGGTGCACTGCCTTTCCCTGCACCCGACGCTGGACGTGCTGGTGACCGGAGGGAGGGACAGCGTGGCGCGCGTCTGGGACATGAGAACCAAGAAGCAGATACACGCCTTGGGCGGGCACTCGAACGCCGTGGGCACGGTGCAGACGAACGCGGTGGACCCCCAGGTGCGTTGCGGAGAGCGTGCCGAAAGAAGGATCGGGGTGTGGCATGTGTCGGTGTTTCGTGTGAGGAGTGGGTGTTGTAGGGTGGGTGTCTGGCTGCTGCTGCTGCTGCTGCTGCTGCTGCTGGGCTGGACAGCAACCTTTCGCGAGGATTTAACTTGGGTTTGGTCGGGTTAGGGTTAGGATTGGAACCCCCCCGTCGTCGCGAAGGTGTGGTCCGGGCTGGAAGGCAGTGGCGTCGAGTTTCATCATGCCGCCTGCTGGTGTCTTCCAGTTGTTCTGTGTTGTTGTTCGCGGGCTTGCGCTCGGCTCAGGTTTTATGATTGGTGTGCTTGCGGAACCGGTTGCCAAGATGTTTTGGCGATGTCGATGGTTTGCGCGAGGACGACGTGGTCCCGCTGTCCAACCAGGAGCAGGTTCGATATTGTCGTGCCCACACAGCTGAGGTTTCTGTCTGTTGTCATTGCTGTCATAGGTACTGGTCTTCCTCGTTTCTCCCAGACGGGCGTTCTTTGAGTGCAGCCCCCCCCGCTTCTTGTTCATTTGTTTCAAGGCGTGTTCAGCAACGCCAGGATCAAAAACTAAGTGATGATATCCGCGTTCAATCCGTGTTTGCCCGTTCTCTCCAGGTGATCACTGGGTCGCACGATTGCCAGATCAAGCTGTGGGACCTGGTCGCAGGGAAGGCGATGACAACCCTGACCCACCACAAGAAGGCGGTTCGCGCCGTGCAGATGCACCCCAAGGAGTTCAGCTTCGTGTCTGCGGCCGCCGACAACATGAAGAAGTGGCAGGTAGGAGAAACTGATTTCAGCAGAGAAAATGGTTGCGATGTGTCTTTTGGTTTAGCGAGAAACGACTACTTATAAAAATATGTTGTTCAAAGCAAGACGTAGGTAGGGTTGCTTTGTGTTGCGCTATACCTTGGTCGGCGAGAAACAACGAACCATGCTGTCCGAAGCTTTGGCATTCAGATATTATCGCGTTTTCGGTGGGGTTAGACACTTTGTTGATGACTGTTTGGAGACGGTGCCATTTGTTTGTACGTTTGCAGGGCACGGAAGTGTCCCCAAGGCTTGCACTAGAAGAACAGTGCTGGATATACGTCCATGCACCCTGTATTTTCTTGGGTGTCTATACCCACCCCCTATCTCATTCCCACCTTGCGTGTCCCCCGCACCCCCCATCAAAGGGCCGAGACGGCATGTTCCTGAACAACATGTCGGGGCACAACACGATTATCAACTCCCTTTCGGTGAACGAGGACAGCGTCCTGGTGAGCGGCGGAGACAACGGGTCCCTCTGCCTGTGGGACTACGCCACGGGCTACAACTTCCAGCGCATCGACACGATCGCGCAGCCGGGGTCACTAGACGCCGAGGCGGGCATCTTCGCCTCTTCTTTCGACGTTAGCGGTAGCCGGCTCGTGACCTGCGAGGCCGACAAGACGGTTAAGATCTGGAAGGAAGACTTGGAGGCGACCCCGGAGTCGCACCCCATCGACATGGTGGCGTGGGCAAAAGACTACCAAGCCAGGAAACGGTAGTAGCTGGCGGCGGCGGCGGCGGGAGCGGAACGCAAGGCGGGCAGAGGCGTTCCCCTCTCCCGAATGATCTTTGGGGCTTGAGGTTTACAAGGGGGGGAGTCGGATGCGGAGTAGGGGGGGGGGCAACTGCAGGGCTGCTGCGGAGGAGGGGAGGACAGCTGGCCGATGGAGTTTACTCGGTGTGTTGTGTGCCTGTCGTCAGTACTGTTTTAATTTGTTTGCTCTAGCATGGGAAAACGCCGTGGAAAGGAATTGTGGGAATGCAGCGAAAGCCCAAAGCGAGCTTTCATCGCTGCCGCTTTTTTATGTAATGGTGATACGAAATGTGGCTTTTGAGTATCCCTGTATAGAGAGAGAGGCAATTCCGTACCTAGGAGCCTAGGAGGTCGGTACGTCATGGAAGTGCGAAAGATGTCAAGGGTTGGCGTGAAGACGCGCAAACACATGTACCGCTCGCTCACTGTGCGGCTTGTGATGTTGCTCGTTCCAAATCTTGGCGAGATGCGTCATTTGTTACGATGTACCATTTTGATGCACCATCCCCTGTCGGGGTAAACGTACAAACCACAGCGATATGTAGTGGCTGGCCCTGACGCAGAAGATGATAGCCGGCAGACCCGAAGAGCAACATTTTTATTTATCATTCTCGAGTGGCGCCAACAACACACAGACAGACGCTGCTGCTACGCACCACCATTGGTGGTGCAATATGTACTGCTGTACGCCTCTCTACACTTGTGCGCGAGGGACTAGTGTGTCTGGCCACCTCCATCGCACACGCTTTTGAGTTGCCAGCTCGAACAAAAAGGAGAGAGAGAGGCCCAGCAAAAAGGGGGAGTTTTTATTGCTCCTAACCTGCTGATGACGATGAATACCACCCCCCCTAGCTGACGGTCAGTATCATCCCCCCTCTCTGGCTGACGGTAAATACTATCCCCCCTCTCTGGCTGACGGTAAATACTACCCCCCCCTCTCTGGCTGACGGTAAATAACACCCGCCCTCTCGGGCTGATGATGAATACCACCCCTCAAGCTCACGTTAAATACCACCCCCCCTGTCTAGCTGACGGTAAAAACCACCCCCCTCTCTGGCTGATGATGAATGCCACCCCCCCTCATAGCTGACGGTAAATACCACCCCCCCTATAGCTGACGGTATATACCACCCCCCGTCTGACGGTAAATACCATCCCCCTCTCTGCCTGACGGTAACTACCAGCCCTCCCTCTCTGATGTAAATCACACTGACTGGCTGGCGCCCCCACAACTCAACGTCTTCACTGCTGCTGCTGTCTGTGTCGTAAACAAGATGTGAGCCAATGGTAACAAACGTAACAACGCACGAGCCTATTGCAGGCACTTTTGTTTTCGAGAATAATGAAAAAAACTAGGGCAATTGACAAAATGGGGTATTCCCGGCGTGTTTCGGCACAAAATGGGGTATATCCTTTGTTTCGCTATCCATTGCGTGCGCTATCTGTCGTGTGCCTGCTGCACATGTATCGATCACCTCAATTCATTCTGTGCGTGCCGACCATTCGATGGCTCCTCTTGCATTGCGTCTGTAGGGCCAAAATTTCAAAAAAATCGCATCTATCTCCTTGCGCATGCATGCGTAGGTTGCTACTGCTGCTGTATGTATGTATTGTTTTCACTTTGTCCTCTCTTCGAGGGTTTGGAGTCTCCCTCGTGACGACATCGTACCAAGATGACACAAACGGCACTTACTTCCCAACATAACATATATGAGACACACAAGACAGCTACCAAACTGTTTTGTTGAGCCTGTTACCCGTAGGGGAGATGTCCCTATATTGCTGTCTGGGAAATCGTAGACATACAGGTAGCTTTTTCTGACGCTATGAATTCATTGCTAATCTGTCTCTGACTCTTTTCTATGTATGATAGAGATGGATTCGTTGTGTCATACTAAGAAAAATATAAAAAACTCAATTGGGGAAGCAGCCGTGGCCACACGGCAATCCATTTTTATTTATCATCCTCGAGTGGCGGGTGTCAACACAGAACTTTCGAGAAGGTCCAAGAGTTTTCATTCCTCTCTTTTTTTTTTTTCACGCACTCCTGGGAGGGTTCACACGTGATTGGACCAGATATGGGAGTCCTAGACACCACCAAACACAACGCCTGGTACAGTATAGACGGCCCCTTGTACAATTTACAGCGTCGTTTTCACCCGCCATGTATGTTGTGCGGGATTCCAGGAGATACCCGCAGAGTGGGATGATGCGTTTCTTCCTTTTTGGCTCGTTCCTCGTTCGGCTCATGACAGAATACGGTACCGGTCTCTGTCCACGACCGCATGAACATGGCCCGTCGCCCTGCATGAAGCCGGTGAAACCAATGAGAGCAGTCTGTTGTTCGCCCTCCACGTGTTTTTCTCGCTGATTCAAAAACGTTCTCCTCTTGAAAGCCAACCTCGCCCTTCCCACACACCTACCCGCACACCATATCTGCTTCCAACCGGAGACGTTCGACAGAAAGTGTCAGGTGTGCCCGATGTAAGGCCGGCTAAATGGCACAATGCGACCTGATCCGGGGACCCTTCCTGCCGAAGTGTCATGAGGGACGGCCGGACCAGCCGCGAGAACGTCTCACGCGAAACACAAGCACGGCAAACATAACTCTAGGTGCCAGCGTTGCTGTCGTTCTTGGAGCGCCGTTTGCAGCGTCCGTTTTGGCTGCCACCGTAGTGCTGCTACTGCCCAAACCCTCACTCCGCGCCAGCTTGAAGGAGGGCGAATGTCTCGTCCACGGTGAGCTTGACCTGAGTCTCGTCGGTGCAGAAGTCGTGGTGGTATCCGCAGTCGCCCCTGTCCCCCGTGCTCCCGTTGCCATCGCTGGACGCCCAGCCATCAAGGCACGTACACAGCCCCGTGTCGAAATCTGGCGGGTGACAGTGCATGGTGTGCGTGATAGGTTACGAGAACAAGACGTTAGATGACGTCATGAGAAAGATTTTCCGGTTGGAGCATGTTGTTTGGGGGGGGCGTTCTTCGGAAGGCCGAGACCGGTGTTCAAGAAGAGAACTCGTGTGATTTAGCGAGGCACTACCGTTCAGGGCAGTAATACGAACTGCAGTACTAGTCTAAGTTTGTATGCTAAGAAAATACATTATTGGGGCCTCAAAAGCAGTCAAGGTAACGGGACCAGTCAGTCGTGTTGTGTTGAATCGACATGGTGTTTTGAAGTCATGACAAAGTTCATTTATTGTCCAGAATGCGAAACAGCTACCCCTGTGTAACTCCCGAAGCTTACCGCAAATACCACGGCCGCCGCACTCAGAGTTCTCCTTGCTACCGGCTTCCGTGGTATCAACCTCGAAAGTGGGAGATGTGTACAGGGAGGACAAGCCTCCGAGCTCCGTCAAGAAGGTAACCTGAGGGAGAGACGCGCGCTCGTGTGTGTGGGTCATTCGGGGGAGGGGACGACGAGTGCCGTCTAGACCGAGCAAATGCACCTACTGTCGGTGTATTCTGCAAAGATTAGATCGGCCCTTGGCTCCTGCTTAGAACGCCACACCCGTCCACACTGACCAGTTATTGGGGCCTTCGTTGTTGGTCCAGAGGGTTTTGTTCCAACCGCCTGAATACGTAAATGAATGCAACAAGCGCTGTGGGATCCACGAAAGTATTCACCTTCGCTACACAGGTACAGCAGTAGTCTTGTTTTTCCTATCTGCGGAATCTAGTCTTTCCTAGCTGCGGGCCCGACTGCACCGAATTTTCCTCACCTTTATTCCTTCTCCGTAGACCCACGAAGAGTCGCAAGCGGAACCCCCTGAAGTGAAGCTGACAGCGACCGACCCAACCCTGCTCAATGGACACCCATCAGGACTGGTTAGGCGACGACGGGGACCCGTTCGTTTCGGCGGGCACCCTTTCGTTGAGTCCGATAGAGCGGTGATGAATCGCGCAACCGAGAAGTTTCCTGAGCTAACCAGGATTCATTTATAAGCTGAAGTGTTTACTCATCTAGATTACCGTACCTTTCTATTGTGTCGACTCTAAGTCTGGTTGCACTGAGCAGAATAACTAGAACAAAGCGTGAACTGTGCGCGACGAGTGTAGGGGCACCATCCCGATCTACGGTTGATCAACCTCAACTGGGCCACACAACAGACACGCGCTACCGAAAAGGATGGGGGTGGGGCGGCAGCCCTTCATCAGAGCAAGCCACAGCCTAGCCGCCCAACAACAATTTGGTTATTGGAAAAACTGCATGTCAACGTAGTGTTTCAACTTCTGTCCGGTTTTGGAGGCAGAGACTACAGTAAGAATAAATCCAACCTGTGTACTTTCGGGGACAGGACACAACTGCCGAGAGAGCTTCACTCACGTCGGTAGGAGTTCGAGTGCGGCGGTTACCTCCGACGTGGTAGCGTCGAAAGCAATGGCCTGTCGTTACAACACGAAGGGGCACAGCAACGTACAAAGGTCCGTATACACAAGCAAACACCGGAACGCAGTGAATGATGGAACAAGCGAGATGACGTTAGCATAAGGAAGGGTGGTGTGGAGCATTAGGGGTCTGCGAAAATTTAGCGATCGGCGTTGGGTGACAGAGAAAACAAAAAGAAACCTGTTGCTCGTGATAGCAAGGTGAACGCGTGCAGGTGGATGGCGCAGCTGGCGGTGGCGCGAGGACGAAGCTAGAGTACGTAAAAAAACGGATTTTTTCCCCGAACATATGAAACCCTTATTGTCACTCCAACGCCACAACCTTATTTTCCGATGACACCCTTGCCCCCGAGAGGATCAATGCACAACGTGTCCTCACCTCCGTTGTAGCATCGCGGAAGGTCATCGTGAACGAGCCAGAGCTTAGCGTACACGCCACCGTCTGCACCTCGAACTCCCCGGGAGTTGTTCGTGGATCGTCCCCGGTCGGACATGTCCCTGTCAAAGGAAACGAGTAATGCTCATGCGTTGACCATCGACTTTAGGCGAGGATTTCGAAGGCCGTGCATTTCCTATAAACTGTTGTTTTACGTCATAGGACGAACCTGCATACTAGAAACAACGTGCTTACTGCGGAACTTATCGAAAGACACCGTAGGCGTCGGGGGTAGGTGCTACGCTTTATCCCCATGTTTCCCTGGGGAAACCGTTGCCCCCCCCCCCCCCATGACACCAAGAGGTACAGTAGCCGGAACGAGCATCCTCGAACAACAGAAACCAGCAACCAACATGTCTATCATACCACCCCTGAGACGTACTCACTCCGGCTGCACGCGTACCCGCCCCACCCCGGGAGCTTGGAGTTATCCGTGTACAACCCGGACACGAACGCCCGCGCCCCCACCCTTGGCCGGTACGCG